ATTGCCTTCTTCCTAGGGCTGAGAGAGAATGACTGGCCCAAGGCCACCCAGCTGGCTTTGTGCCTAAGGCAGGACTAGAACTCACGGTCTCCTGGTTTCTAGTCTGGTGCCTTAACCACTACACCAAACTGACTCATAAAGAGCAATATTAGGATACAAATACTACTACTAATAGTAATTAATAGTAATAACAACAACTATTTTAAGAGTGTTTCTTTTTTCAGGTTTCCTTTTGAAAAGACCATGGCAAAGGTTGAATTCTTACGTAACAGTTTATGCAAAACTATCTAGTAGAAGAATATCATCTTCTCTTTTTTCCCCCCTCCAAAAGAAAACAAATATACATGCTTATGTTATATATTAGATCAGTGTTAAGTTAGATCTAATCACTGATCATATTTATATCCATGTGAATATAAATAGATCTGCGGTCATCAGAAATCATCCAAGGGCTGAAACTCCTGTGGGATAGTAAAGCCCAGCTGTTTGGACACCTTTTCTGCACTTCCCACATATGCTAGTTAGTCCAGCCAACTACCATTTTTCATTTTTAACCATGCCTACAACACAGTTATAGTGGGGGGTGTCCTTGTCACTCTTCAAGAACAAACTTTTTCTCCAAAACTTCCTTAAACCTGGAGCAGCTGGTATTTGTGAAGTGATGCCAAAAGAAGCTTCTTGCTATCTCTAAGCTAACTATCATTCATTCTTTTCACATTGTGTTTCAGAGATGGCGAGCAAAGTTTAAGTAGATCAGTGGTCAATAGCTCTGATAAAATAAACCGGAAGAGTGGCTCTTCAGTGTTCCAGCATTCTGTAGAAAGATGGAAAATCAATTCCTCCTTGGTGCTGGAAATAAGGTGAGTATCTTAAGTGATACAGTACACAGTCCTGTATATATTTAGGTAGCTTGCAGCTTTGATAGACTGGAAAACCTTTTTTATTTAGACTTGTCAGCTGTTTGGATATAAAATTCTAGAGAGGATGAAGAATCTTAGCAACAATTTCTCTCAGACTACAGTACATTATGGGTTTGTGAAATTACAGAAGCTCTCAAAGCTCTTGGAAAAAAGTCACAATGTAACTGACAGAACGTTAAAAGATGTTAAACTAAAATAGCTTCTCAGACTTTTGGCTATAAGCAGGCCTAGTGTGTGTGTAACGTTTGCATACATTTAATGTTTCAGAGGTCATGAAACAGAAATATGAACATAAATTATATTGATAAAGAATGAATGTGTGAGGTTGATTTTTAGCTAGGACTCTGAATTTAAGTAACTAAATTTAAAACAAGGGTCAGGTACCATTGGCATTTGCTGCATATCAACTTCCTAGGAGTATCTGGTAGCCACTGTTGAAAATTAACCTTTTATCTTCTGGATAAGCCTTTGATCTGTCCTTGCAAAGTACTTCTTGATGTTTCAGAAGTCAGAGAATATACCTTCTTCTACTATATTAAGCCCATGACTCTTGTTATGCTAACTGCATGGCCCAAAATCTTTCTCTTAATTGCCATCATAAAAACAGAAAAAAGTGGAAATCACCAGTTGAAACCATAGATGTCCCTATAGTTGTGTATTTGTGTTACCAAAACTGTTGTGAAGATGGGGAGATTTCTCTTGGAAATAAGATTGTAGTTAATGGTTTGTTTGATGATTTGAGGTGAAAAATTATCTTCTACTAAACTACAGAGAAACAGAACATGCTATTGTTTATTAGAGGTATCTGAAAATTACTGCTCTGATGTGAAAGCAAGGGATGTTTTAAGACTCTAAAGTTGTCTTTATTAACAATCTGTGTAGTCCTATATTAAAAGATTTAAGTTGTGTAACGTTATGGGATGCTAGTATAAAGGATCTGTCTATCAACTGCTTATCTGAGTATACTGAGCACTGAATGAATAGTACCTAATCTCCATAAAAAATTGGTACAGGTAGAGAACTTGAAGATATGGAGAAGTCTTTAGGTGTGCCATCAAATGTTAGCGGCATCAGCTTCCCCTCCAATATTAAAAATGCCTTGTCCTGAGATTGAGAACATGGATTCAACAGTTACAGAATACCTGAACAATCTCATGGAAATAAATCAACAAGCAATAGCAGCAGTTAGTAGGGGTGTGTATAACTTCGATAGTACTTCACTTTGATTAAGATTTGAATGAAGTACCTCCTTGTAGCTGCTTCACAAAACAACATGATCTCTTGCTTCTAAGAGAAAGCAAAGTACTTTTGTTGCTTTACCTTGCTCTGCTTCAGAGCCCCTTTCAGCCTTCTCCTTTGGAACTCATGCTATGGAAGTAAGCTGAGAGCTGTCTTTTTGAGAAGTGACAAGCCTTCTCCTGCAGTGCTGGTGAAATTGATTTCAGGCTGGGCAGATTAAGCATAAACTGCAGGCATTCCCTTACTGTGCTCTGAAGATTTCTGGCCTGGAGCATCCTTGGCCCACTTGCCAGAAGCTTCTGTGAACACTGAAGAGGAGATACTACTTATCTCCTTCTTCGGACATGCTGCAGAGAAGATGCTGCTAATCGTTTCCAAGACTGCTCAGCTTTGGCCAGCATGTGGGAGGAGGCTTGGGGCATGTCCTGAACAGTGATTGCCAGAGGTCAAAGAAGTCTGGAGGATGTGCTGCTTTGGTGAGCGGTGTGGAGAAGGCAGTGCTTGCCCCCACCAGACTGCTTTATGTATAAGGATTTTCTAGGCTGGATTGTTTAAGTGCATGCTTCTGAATCACCGAGCTTGGAGATTTTTTGGTGCATGCTAGGGCAAAACCTTGGGAGGAAATCACCAAAATTGCTTTGATGAGGTGAATTATGCTACCTCTTGGTTTCAGAGAAGTGGAATCACATTGCTTTCATGATATGAATCACTTTTACAAAGTGTATCTTGAAGAGTTTCAGGTTGGTGGAAGATAGGAGGATGCAGGCCACAATGTGAAAGAAGGCAAAGTAGGGAGAAGTCTTATTTAAATATATTATTTAAATGTACGGCTATTTCTTCCCTTAATATGCTATTTTTGCATTGTTGAATCATTTGCCTTAAATGTATCTGAAATATTTCAAAAGCATATTACACTGAAAAATTGAACTGAAATTGTGTTTATATCTGATATATTATAATGAGATGCTTTTTCATTTTTAATTTTTGTTAATTTGTATGAAGACCTAATCTTAATCCTTTCTAAATTCTCAAACATATTCCAATCTGTAGAATGACATACAGCAATTTCGGGTGGATCACACTCAATAAGTTGGTGCTGAATATAAATTGTGTGTGTGTGGGGGGGGGGGGCTGTGTGTGTGTGTATCTCTATCTCTATCTCTATATCTCTCTCTATCTCTATAAATATAAACTTTACAAACATAAGGACCAGGATGTTGTTTTGTTAAGAGTCATATTTTGTTTTCAGTTGCATAACCACAGAGCCTCTCACATGATTAGTAGAGATGGGGATTTCCTTTTTTTCCCCCTGAAAAAAAGGAAATAGCAAAAAAGCATTCAAGATAAATCTAGTTGAAAAGCATATGAGCTGTTTGCAGTTTTTCACCAGTGCATGTTCAATTGTAGGACAAGTAACATTTGTAGCCTGTAAAAACAACTGTGCAAAGACTTAATCTATTTGTTAACAGCAAGTGTGGCATATACAGTGAAACAACCAGGTGTTCTTAGCCACAAAAATCCAGATGAGTAGAGAAGAGGAGTCCTTAAATCTATTTTCTTCCACCTAGAAGTAAGCAAAAAGAGGGAGTGGCAGATGTTCAGAATAATTCCCCAAAGTCCCAATATTCTTTAATTGTCTAACATTCTTAAAACAATGGCTGTAATTCTCTTTCCCTGACTTTGCTCTTGGGAATGACCTGTCCAGAGCTCTTACCATAACTCCCAAAATATGGTCTGCATGTATTCTCAAAGCTATTTTTCTTTGTTTTTGCAAATCATTTCCGCACCCCAAGGCTCCTGTCAAGGTACTGCTAAACCATGGCAGGCAGCATACTTTTCCTACCATTTTTAATCAAGTAGAAAAGAATGAAAACACTGTTATTTAGTGACTCTGATTGACTTTACAAACTTAGAAAACTGCTTCCACCCCAACCGGGCATCTATGGGACTGAGCCAAGGGAGGAAAATGATGACACATGGATGATGGTACAATTATATAAATATTGTTCATATTCATATTCATTGGAGAAATACCAATAGTATGCTGGAAGATGCAAATAGAGCTCTCACAACAATCCCTACTACAAGGTCAAACCAATGAATATGCTACAGCTGCTGTAATCCTGGAGATGCTTGACTACACGATCAAGAAGAGCAGCAGTACATACCCCCCCCCCCCCCCAATGAGGTTGGAGACTCATATCAAGGTAACTTGGAGAGAAGTTAGTCAGCTGGTGTAACTGTAGAAAGGTGTGGAGATTAAGGATAAGGCTCAGCTACTGAAAAAATACAAGGGTCTGACTCCATTTCTAGCCGTAGAGACTGCTAAACAAAGTCTCTCAGCAGTGGCTACCAGGCTGAGGAGATACACTAAAGAAATGGAGGCCAGGAAGATAAATGTCCTGTTTTCCAAAGAACCATCCACGGTATAGTCCCAGCTGCAGTGCAACAACACAGGAATGGTAGAGCCACTAATAGAAGAAACTGAGCAGTATTGGAAGAACATATGGGAGAAAGAGAAGACACATAACACCAGTGCAAAGTGGCTGCAGAACATAAGAGCAGATCACAGCAGTCTCCCAGAACAGGAACCAGTCACCATCACAGTAGCAGACATCCAACACCGCGTCAAGAACACGAAGAACAGGACAGCACCTGGCCCGGACATGATCCACACCTACTGGCTGAAGAAACTAACAGCAGTGCGTGAACGCCTAGCAGCACTGATGAAACAGCTGCTAGCAGCAGGATCCCACCCAGACTGGCTAATACAAGGAAGGACAGTGCTGATCATGAAAGACCCCCACAAGGGAGCAGCACCATCCAACTACCAGCTAACAATCTGCCTCCCCACAACATGGAAAGTCCTATCAGGCATCATAGCTGCCAAGCTACAGGACCATATGGGCCAGTACATGAGCATAGCTCAGAAGAACATTGGGAACAATACCAGAGTCTCAAAACACCAGTTGCTGATAGCTAGAGCAGTCGCCCAAGACTCGAGGTCTAGACAGGCCAAACTGAGCACAGCCTGGATTGACTCCCAGAAAGCCTATGACGCAGTGCCACACACATGGATATGTGAATGCCTGGCGCTATACAAAGTCAACAAGATACTAAGGACCTTCCTCAAGAACACAATGGGACTGTGGAAGGCAACACTGGAAGTCAACTTAAGACAGTTCACACAAGTGGCCATCAAGTGCGGCATATTCCAAGGTGATCCACTGTCCCCCGCTGCTGTTCAGCATATACCTCAGCCAGATAATCACAAGGACTGGATACAGGTATAAATTCAGGAGCGGAACTACCACCAGCCATCTCCTCTACATGGATGACATCAAGCTATATGCCAAGAGTGAATGAGACTTCGATTTGCTGATCCACCAGACATGGATCTACAGTGAGAACATTGGGATGTCATTCAGACTGGAGAAGTGTAGCTGGATGGTAGTAAAGAGAGGGAAGGTAGTTAAGATTGATGGGGTGGAACTACCAGTGGGCCACAGAGCAGACATACAGACCAACTACAGGTACCTTGGTATCCCACAGTCACATGGGAACCACGATGAAGAGGCAAGGAAGACAGCAACATCCAAGTACCACCAAAGGATAAGAAAGGTCCT